ATATTTTTTCTGATTAAAGTTCAATATTCACCTTATTCATGAGGGCCATGTACGGAAATGTTTTCAATTGTTTCGTTTAAATTTACTGAGAAATGGAGCTTTTAGCCATGTTTTCCTTGTTTCTTTGGCCTTTGTGTTGCGGTAAATGCGCAAATCGCTAAGTGCCGATTATTCACACTTCTATCTAACCTTTAAACTATCGCTTGACTCTCAATTATCATTTCTACATCATAGCTTTCGAATCTGCGGAGTCATCGGATGAATAACGACGTTCTTTACTGAACCATAACGAAATTGTCAGTTGTCTAAAATAATAATATCTCATCTTATTTCATCGCCATTTCAGGGTCGGCTTAATGATCAAGAGGGCTGGTTCCCGGCTTCGCATGTGGACATACTATTGAAATCCGATGTAAGTAGTTCTTTTAAGCCTTGTCTCTATATTTTGATTAGGTTTATGAAAGCTAGCAGTGGTTTTGTTTTGTGCATAATTATTTATAGTAGTAGTTGTGGTTTAATTACGCTAATTTAAATAAACTACTTGAGAGATCACAGCAGCGGTCAATGGTTGCTGACACCAATGTGAACATAGTGATACTATCCAGTCGGAGTTGCTTAAGTCAAAAAAATTTTCAACTTTTTTAAATCAAAGAAACTGCTAACATACTTTGATTGTTGGTGCTAGAAAAGTTACAAAATATGGTTATTGGAAATTTTCTAACCATGGATAGCTAGGAAAGAGAAATCAGCTTTGAACTTTTGTGTTGCTAAAAAATCTAGCCCATTTGCATACTTGTGTTGCTTAGCGATAGGTTTGTCACCCATCAGCACATCGAAAGGGTATATGAGTTTACACAGTTTATGCAAACGCGAACATATTCGAACTTTTCGCTTTCTCTGCACGTTGGTTCTGAGGGTTATTGCACTTGAAAGTACAGGGCGACCGATAAAGTGAAAGTATCTGATAATTTCAAAACTTAACGAAATTAGAAATAAATTCTCTTGAAAAGGAAGTGACACAATTGTCGGAGTTTCATTTTAATAATCTCACCCCCTCCTCGTAGCTCGGAGCAAACTGTTTCTACACTTTCCTTGGTAAGGATATCAGAAAAGGTTTTTTCTGTCGGGACTAATTGGGCTTTTAAAATATTGGTAGGGGATTAGTGTACTCTCCTCGACCGCGTCTGAGCATGCACACGAGACCGACTGGTTAAGGTCCGACCAACTATTCCTTGAGTCCGAGATAGTGGTTAAGATCGACTGACAACTATTTCTGACTTTGTGGGTTGTGGGAGGTTATGTGGGTGGAAACCGAATCCTACTACCGCCATATACATGGCCTGTTATTGACACCTCTCATTATCCATGGCTTGACTACTGGGGTTGTGGTGGTAGTGGTTGTGATGAGCGATGACCGTAGGTATCTGAATTCATCCTGAGGCCATCTGAAAGAAATGTGGAAGGAGGTATTACAGAATCCTCAGGAGAGGAGGACACTCATTGAAAAGTGTGGCAGTAAGAGGGAAACCTAGTTTGCCTGACTAGAGAAGTGTCTTTTGGATTAAATGCAATGAAAGATGATATCTCTTCTACTATCTTTCAATCATGGTGAAAGTTTTCTAGTCTGAAGAGAAGTAGATTCACTTTGCTCAGAATAATCATTATTTTCGTTGGAGAATTTTGGTTGGCCTCTTGCGTGGGAAGTTGACCTCTGGAACGCCTGTATGAGTAGTAGTAGTAGAAATGGTGGTGGTGTCAAAGTTCTTGATCAAGATCTGGGGTTACGTTAGGAGCTGTAAAAATCGATTATCGTTGGTGATACAGCCCATATTCCCTTGAACGTCAGTCATGTGAGTGCGGTTGGAATAGTTCATGTGCCAAGTTGCCTACTTCTATCCACAAAGTATGAGTCATAATTGAAAATCTGAAGTTCATGTGGAATTGTTTTCGAAGTGTTGAGGGAGCATTGAACAGTGATCATAACCCTCCCATTATTTTAGTGACCGGCCCGAATCACCTTGACACGAGCTATTCCCTTGCATGATTCCGGTGGATTCTTGCTGATATCAGATATATCAATGAAGAAACGTACCTTTGAGTTTGGTTTTACTGAGGAGAGAATAGGTATAGCTCGAATACTTCCATCTTGATACAGGGGACGCATATAGAGCTTATGCTTGTTGTTTAAGCCTTTCTACCTAACTATGCGATGCAGACACACCGAACTAGGGCTTACATTTTAATCATGTGAGCAATATTTTCTCTGTGACTTTTCATATCTTTTCATATTTGCCTGGTTGCTGAAACATCCCAGAATTAGCTGTTTTAAGAGATGTCTCTTCAACTTTCAAAGCTTCGGACCAGTTAGTGGGAATGGTTATGTTAGCATTAAGCAATTTAGCAAAATTCAAATCTATAATCGATTTCACAACTCAAAACATAGAGGGTATGCGCTTGAACATTAATCCGATACGAAATAATTTAAAAAAGAAATACTCAGCAAATCACTCACTTCATATTTCAGGTGCATTTTCAGATGCCGGTAAAAAACACTTTTTATTCACCTGATAATGTGATAAACAAATCTTAACCAAGTCTCCTTTTTTACATTTCGATCTCAATGTCATAATTTGAAATGTCTATTTTTTCAAATAATTTAATAAATTTATCTAATTATAGGACTCAAGTAGTGTAATCGATGAAATTAGAGGGTTCACGAATAAACGTGAATTGGCTATCAACCAGCCCTTGGTGGAGAAATACTTTTCAATTATCCGAAAGGTGAAATACAAATTGGGCAAAAATTGGTTAAAGGAATTTGGGAGATCAGAAACGGACTTTCAAAGAGTTTGTTTCCTTCTTAAAGCCATTCAATCCACTAACGGGGGTAAGTTGTCAGATTCAACAAACAAGATGCTTTTTTTAAAAGAAGATACACACGGAGTTGAAGTACTGGGGCTTAATGCAACAAAAGCAGAAATTAGGCAAAGCCATGGGAAATCAGATGATGTATCGAAGACTTATACGGTTTATGCAGCATTTGCGAAATCGATCAATCATACAGATTGGGAATTGTTTGCATTGACAAAGGCTGTCTTCTATGCTGCATCGCCGGAACAGAAGGCGGTGACATACGCTATCCGCTGTCAGAGACTTCAGGAGCTGGGAATTTTCGATGGCTCCATTGAAGACGCTAAGCGTGCTCTTGAGGTAAAGTTCCACCGCCATTAGTTTCTAAGTATCGTATAATTTTTC